AGACTGGGTGGATGCAGAGGAGTGTCACAGGTGCCGAGTGCAGTTTGGCGTTGTGACGCGGAAGGTGGGTGCTGCTCCTGGGTTTCCTGCTCTGCACAGCCCTTGGGACTTGCAGGACTTGGTGTGTGGAACTGTGCTGGGGACAGACCATGTTTCCTTCCTGCTGGCAGGGAAATGAGTGTCTGAGTGATGTTGGCTAAAGGAGAAGGTCTTGCCACCACACTCATGTTGCCTGTCCTTCACAGCACCACTGCCGGGCCTGTGGGCAGATCTTCTGTGGAAAATGCTCCTCCAAGTATTCCACCATCCCCAAGTTTGGGATTGAGAAGGAAGTGAGAGTCTGTGAGCCCTGCTATGAGCATCTCAACAAGTCAGTACCTTTTGTGGTGGGTTTCTTTGCCTGTGCCAGCAGGGACATTGAGGGGGGAAGCAGGGAGGGTGTGGAACTAACTCCCTGCAGAGCACAACAGGGGCTTTCCAAGCTGTGCGGGCTGGGCTGGGCTCTCTTCCTTCCTGGGAGCGGGATTTGCTGCTGGAACATGGTACAGAGAAGGGAGCATTCAGTCCATACTATCACTTGTCACTACAGGAAAACTGAGGGTAAAGCTGCTGCCACCTCCGAACTGCCCCCTGAGTACCTGACCAGCCCTCTCTCTCAGCAGTCCCAGGTGAGCCGCTGCCCCATAGGTGATCTGGCGATCCTGACTTGTTTGTTGATCCCATTACTGACCACCTCCTTGTCTTTCCACTTCCAGCTGCCTCCAAAGCGCGATGAGACAGCTCTGCAAGAGGAAGAGGAGCTCCAGCTGGCTATTGCCTTGTCTCAGTCAGAGGCTGAGGAGAAGGAGAGAATGGTTTGTTCACTGCTGGGGTCCAGGAGGGGTTGTTGCTCTTTGGCCCACCTGTGCTGGTCCATAACAGATCTCTGGACATGTCCTGGTGTGAGCAAGGCTCGAAGCCTGTGGAATGAGAGGGTGAAAGCAGAGCCAGGCACAGGCTGTGTTGTGGTTGGTTTGGAGAAGTCTCTCTGAGCTGGCAATTTTCTCTTTTGCAGAGGCAGAAAGCAACCTACTCCATGTACCCTAAGGCTGAGCCCACTCCTGTCGCGTCGTCGGCTCCCCCAGTCAGCACGCTCTACTCCCCACCTGTGGTATGTCTGTGGCAGCTCCTGCACGTGAAGTGGCTGGACACAGGCCACTTCCTGAGCCCGAGTCTGCCCTGATTGTGTCCAATTTCATGTCCATACTGAGGGAAAATATTTGCCCTGTTCAATCCCTTGCTCGTTCACTGTGTTTTGAGCAAAAAGATGTGTTCTCAGCCAGGATTTAGGTGCCTCCACTGCCTCCCAGCTTGTGTCCCCTTTGAGGCTCAGCACTGGTGGTCATACATGGCCAGGTCCAAGCTGAACACCTGTGTGGGACCTGGGGATCTCTGGTTTTGCTGAACTACATTTCTCTTGTTTGTCTCTTTCCAGAATTCCTCTGCTCCCTTGGCCGAGGACATTGACCCAGAGGTAAAGGATCCTGACCCTGCTAGTCTGCAGCACAGGCTTGTTCCTGCGAGGCAGTGGTGCTCATTTTCCTTTTCTTCCTGGCAGCTGGCCCGGTACCTGAACCGCAACTACTGGGAGAAGAAACAGGAGGAGGTTCGCAAGAGCCCCACACCGTCAGCACCCCTGTCCCTGACGGAGCCAGCTGTGCAGCCTGGGGAAGCCCACCCTGCCCCTCTTGGGGTGGTTGAGGTAAGAGGGGGCCCAGGCCTGGGTCTGGCACCCACCGAGGGGCAAGAAGCACCCGACTCTTTGGCTCTGCAGGCTGGCTGCTGGCTCTTGGCACTGGGAGGTCACAGCTGACTGGCTGCCCCATCCTTCCTTCCAGCAGCAGTACCAAAACGGTGAGTCTGAGGAGAACCACGAGCAGTTCCTGAAGGCACTGCAGAACGCGGTCACCACGTTCGTCAACCGCATGAAGAGCAACCACATGCGAGGCCGCAGCATCACCAACGACTCTGCCGTGTTATCCCTCTTCCAGTCCATCAACAACATGCACCCGCAGCTGCTGGAGCTGCTCAACCAGCTGGACGAGCGCAGGCGTGCGTGGGAGCTGGGGGAGCTGCTGGCCCTGGGTGTGGGTGGGCGGCAGCCAGGGCTTCCACACTGTCAGGGTTCAGCATTCCTGTGACTTGGTCTCACTGGAGAGAAGCTGGTGTGCAGTGCAGTGGCAGTCCAAGTGCTCTGTCCCCATGTTCCTGAGGCTGTCCCTTCCCTCCCCAGTGTACTATGAAGGCTTGCAGGACAAACTGGCCCAGATCCGGGATGCGCGTGGGGCTCTGAACGCTCTGCGGGAGGAGCACCAGGAGAAGCTGCGCCGTGCAGCGGAGGAGGCAGAGCGGCAGCGCCAGATCCAGCTGGCACAGAAGCTAGAGATCATGAGGCAGAAGAAGCAGGTGAGGCAGGGAAGCATGTCAGGGGTGTTCCAGACCTGCCTGCTCTGTGGCCCAGCCCAGGGCTGGCAGAGATGGTTGCTCTGGTAGGAGGGGTTGTGTGGTATCGTGGCTCCCAGCCACCACAGCCCTGTTCCCACAGGAGTATCTGGAGATGCAGCGTCAGCTGGCCATCCAACGACTGCAGGAGCAGGAGAAGGAGAGGCAGCTGCGCTTAGAGCAGCAGAAGCAGACCATCCAGATGAGAGCCCAGATGCCAGCTTTCTCACTGCCTTATGCTCAGGTACAGCTGCTGGGGTAGGCTCCCCCTGCCAGGTTCCAGGGATTGTGGCTTTAAGGTGGTTTTCTGTCTCTCACCAGCTCCAGGCTATGCCTGCAGCCAGTGGGGTGATTTACCAGCCTTCTGGGCCCACCAGCTTCCCTGGCACCTTCAGCCCAGCTGGCTCCGTGGAGGGCTCTCCCATGCACAGCGTGTACATGAACCAGGCTGCACAAGGGGGAGCTGGGCCCTACGCTGCCATGCCCGGCACTGGTACGTTGGGCAGCTCAGCCGCTGCGGGGAGGGGAGAGCCCAGGGCGGTTGCTCCAACCTCTGCTCTCTATACCCAGATCCCAGCATGGTGAATGCCTACATGTACCAGCCGGGCACCAGCAGTGGGCAGGGGCCTCAGCAGGGGCCGGCGGTGCCCACCACCACCCCTGCATATTCATCCTACCAGCCCACACCGACACAGGGCTATCAGGCAAGTGAGGCATTGCAGCGTGCAGCCAACTGGGACAAGGGCTGGGGGGTTCTGTGGGGCTGGGCAACGTACCCAAACTTAGCAATGAGATCTCTGAGCAGGAGGGAGGACGGGCTGGTTGGTTCCAGGTCTCCAGATATGCTGCTCTTGCTGTGGAAGTGGGCTGGAGTCAGATCCAGTTCTGGGCTCAAGGGCCTTGTCTGGAGAAGTGAGTCATTGCTGTCTTGCCACCTCTCACCAGCCTCTCCCCACAGACTGCAGTCTCACAGTCACAGAGCATCCCAGCCATCTCCCAGGCACCCCAGTCAGGCACCATGGGCTACATGGGCAGCCAGTCTGTCTCCATGGGCTACCAGCCGTACAGCATGCAGGTGAGCACTCCCTGCTGGGGCATGGGTGGGCTTCAGCCCATGGAGCCGTCCTGGGGGAGGTCACCCACCACTGCCCTGTGGGTGCCGCACGTACTGCAGCCCCTCTGACACCCACCCCTCGTTCCCATAGGGTCTTATGTCTGCCCTGCCAGGCCAGGACACAGCTCTGAGCAGCCTGCCAGCCCAGCAGTCCTACCTGCCCGGGCAGCAGCCCCTCTACCAACAGGTAAGTGCCACCAGCCCAGGGATTCAGGACCCAGTGGAGCACATATTCTAACAAAGCCATACATTAACAAAGCTGTTTCCTCCGCTCCAGGTGGCCCCAGCTGGGGGGCCCCCCCAGCAGCAGCCCCCACCAGCACCTGCCCCTGGGCAGCAGCCCCCAGGCAGCGGAGAGGCCCAGCTCATCTCGTTTGACTGATCGCGCCCACAGGGCGCAGGGATCCAGTGTAACACTAGTCTTCATCCAAAATCACTCTACTTTGGCTACTCATCCTGTCCCCCGGCCCCATGTCCCAGGGATGATGGGGCCATTCCTACTGCCGGATTTGGGGACCAAGGGGCAGGGGTGCAGCCCCCCATGCCCTGCAGCCTGGGGCAGCATCCCCCCAGCTCACCCACCCACCCACCCACCCTCGGCAGCTGGCAGCCCTGGGGCCAGGCGGGAGCTGCCTGCCCCTGTCGTTGCCCCGGGGCTTGTGGCACAGGCCCCAAGGGCGCAGCACTCCAGCCCTGCCCGGTCCCCGGCTTTGCCCCATCCCTGCTGTGTCCTGCTCCCTGCAGCGCCCTCATGGGCTGGGGGCCCTTCGCTGGCCCGGGCCTGTCCCCGTCCCCCTCGGCCCGAGTGCTATCGGTGACAATAAAGTGTTGGAACAAACTGCAGCCTCCTGTGCTGGGTGGGGCGATGCCCACCGGGACATCCTGCCAGCAAACGGGGCAAATTCGGGGTTGCCAAGCGGAGGCAGCAGTTCCGGGGTGCAGATCCCGTCATACTTCACCCCTCGGTACTGGCCAGTTTGGCCACATAAATTTCCTCCCTACAGTGTCTAGAATGTTTCTGTGCTGTGGATGTATAGTCCTAAATTATTAAGCTTTATGGAGCGTTAGAATGTATTACTGAAATTAGTGAAATTCGAAAAGGTAAAATGACAAGGCTTTCAGACTTTATTTTTGTTTCTTTTAATTTGCATTCATTATGCTTCAATTTTGCCGTTAACCATGCTGTAGAGTGGAGAAATAGAACGAATTCTCCTTCCAAACATTCTAGAGAGGAAGTCATTTCTGTTCCTTCACACATGAAATTTTTCCTCTCCTATTTAGCAATGATAAATAGTAGTGGCTGTATTGCGGTTGCTTTTGCTTTCCCACCGGCCCGGTGTGGCCTACATCTCCCGTCGGGCACCGCCGTGCTGCGCGGTGTCGCTGCCGGCTCTCCGTCGGTGCCGGGCGGCGGCGCGGGGCGCGCCGGGAGCGCGGGCGGAGCGGAGTGCTCGGTGTCCTCGGGCCGCCATGCTGCCCGCCGCGCTGCCCGCCGCCCGCCGGGCGCTGCTGCCGCTGCTGCCGCCGCCGCCGCGCCGCGGGGCCCCCGCCGGGCTGCGTGCGCTCGGCACCGGCCCCGCGCGGCGCTCGGAGGCGCTGGCCGGAGCGCCGCTGGACACGGCCGCCAAGGAGTACTCGCCCAAGGTGCGGCAGCTGGTGCGGGACATCGCGGGGCTGACGCTGCTGGAGGTGGCCGATCTCAACGCGCTGCTCAAGGTGGGTGCGGGGCCTGACCCGGCTCGTCCCGGCTCATCCCGGCCCGGCCCGGCCGCGTGCGCCGCCTGACCGGCCGCTGCTGCCGCTGCTCTTCCCTCAGGAGACGCTGAAGATCCCGGACGCGGCGGTGATGCCCGCGGCGGCCGCCGCCTCCCTGCTGCCCGCCCAGGCGGCTCCGCAGGTACCGGGCGCTCCGGGAGGGGCGGGAGCGGGGCCCCGGGAACCGTACGCGCGGGGGCGGGCTCGGCCGCGGGGCTTCACCGTGCTCCGGCTGCTTCCAGGAGGAGGAGGAGGTGGTCCCGCTCAAGAAAGAGAAAACTCATTTCACCGTCCGGCTGACAGAGCTGAAGGCCTCTGACAAGGTGAAGCTGATCAAGGAGGTGAAAAACTTCGTGCCTGGAGTGAACCTCGTGCAGGTGAGGAGGCGCTGCCCCAGGCTCTGGTGTTTCTCCCCCAAGTCCAGCAGCCTCAGCTCTCTGTTCAGAGGGAAGCCTCGATTTGTGCGTTCAGAAGCACAGCCTGCCTGTGTGCATCTCTGTGCAGAGATATGGGGAGCAGGATTTGGTTGCACCTTCATCTGGCATTTTCCGTTGTCAGAAGCAGGGGGATGAAGGAGGAGGCTCAGAGCAAAGAACCCAGAGATATCCATGCCAGCCTCAACTTCTCCAAACCTGGGAGCTGCCATGCTTGAGCTTTCTTGCAGAGCTCAGGAGTAGCCAGCATCCCTTGCTACAGCTGGGTTTGGCTTGTCTTTCCCAAAGCCATGTATTTCTGAAGTTAAATGAGCCTCTGTAATTCACACATCTTGCAATCCAGGCTTCCAGCTCTTTTCAGGGCCCTTCATTTTATAGGTGGTGCTGCTTCTTTCCTTGGAGGAGACGGGTTTCAGCCCTGGGCAGTGTCTGAGCTCAGGTCCTTGACCTTGGATGTGGCCTCAGCATGTTGGGTGATGAAGCTGATGCACATCTCCAGTGTGATTCTTTCATATCTTGGGGTCAATAGTAGCACTTGCCAGTATTCCAGTTGCAACATTGAGCATTGCAGTGTTTGCTCCTGCTGTAGCCCAGGAGAGCAGAAATGTTTGCAGATAATTTTCTGACCCATTCTTGTTGCTGCATTGCAAAGCCAGCAGAGAAGGTCAGTGGCACAGATACAAGTTTGGCTGTCTCATGGGGATAATTCCCTGACTGTCAGTGTGATTCCTCTGGAAGTTGTTCATCTATTATTGGTCCCAAGCAAACATGAAAATACCAAACCCTGTAATGGACACAAGCAGCAGACAATTAACTGGAGAGCTGATGCTAAGTGAGCTTGGCTCTGCATGTGGCACCTGCTGGATGAGCTGTTTGTAGTGCCAATTATCGCAGCTAAATTCAGGTGTGATGTACCCAAGCCCAGCATGTCAAGTGAAGCACACACACAGCACAAACAGCTGTGGAGGTTCTACCTGTGTTCAAAGTGGAGCCAAAGCCCTTTTATTGTAAATTTTACTGCCATCCAGTCAAGGTGGTTTTTATGAGGTTTACAGATGGATCTGCCTGTAGGGCTGCTGATAGTGTGGAGGGAAGCATATTCAGTGATTACCCTGGGCACTGGTGGAACCAAAAATCAGTCCTGTGGCAACAACGGTGTGATGAGACAGGTGTGTGATCAGCACACACAGGAGCAAGGCTGGCTGCACCTCAGGAAGCTCACTGGGAGCTGCCCAGCACATGCTTACCCTCTGTCACCACCAGCCCTGGGCTCTAGCTAGACTGGGAGCATGCTGCCTCTGCCCCGTTGCTGCTGCTACATGGGTCCCACTTGGCTTGGGCTCTGCTCTTCTTCCCACTGAACACCAGGAACAATTGCTTCTCTTGGCCGGGGCTGCTTTAGAATGGAGTCACACCTTCCTGAACAGATTCAGAAATTAATGACGTGTGTTGTGTTATCTGTGCTCATCGCAGTGAGCCTGAATAGGCTTCTGTCCAAATCCTGTCCTGGTGAGCAAAGGCATTCCTGCCCCACCAACCCACTACTCACAAATCTGTGCCTTCCAACCCCAGCAAAAAAAGCATTTTTCTTCCACCACAGATACATAGGCATTGTACCCAGCAGGAATCAAAAGGACAAAACCTTCCTGCCAGCACAGTGGCTAGTCCAGTGGGTGCTAAACCCCCACAGTGCTGTGGCAGAGAGATGCTGCATGTAAGAGCAGCAGGACCTTGTCCCCCTGGGCTCAATTCCTTCTCTATAGCAGCACTGCAGTAAATTCTTTAAATTAGCTCAACAGGGTTTTTTTTGTTTGCTTTAAGTATTGCAGTGCTGCTTAGTACCAGTAGTTTTAATTTAAAGATCCCTAAAATGTCAAAATACTGTGTTGTGAAGTAGTCTGTGCTAGAGCTCTGTTTTAGCCAGTGCAGCTGTGTCCAAACCCTGCACTGGCCCCCCCTCCTGCTGGCATAAGTATGTGAATCAAAACATTGTCACTGAGCAGAGCAGCCCAGCGCCAGGCGGATGCTGCCTCAGCAGGCCACTGCAGGGGCTCTGCCTGCACCCACACCTGTGCAGGCCAGGGTGCACATCTAGGAACACCAAGCACGAGGTGGAAGTTTAAGGAAAAGGTTTCCCAGCAGATGTGTCATCGCTTGCAGTCAGGTTTAGCTGCCTTCTGGCAGGATGTGCCGTAGTTCAAGTGTAAGTCTTGGGGTTTGAACTGTCAGTGAGTTTCCACAGTTGGCTTAAGCAGAGGTCAGGATCATGGCTCTAAATCCAATAATCCAGTTAGTGAAAGCCTGTTTACAAGCCTTGTACTTTGTCCCTCTCACAGGCAAAGAAGCTGGTGGAGTCCCTTCCACAGGAGATCAAGGCGAATGCGTCCAAAGAGGAAGCAGAGAAGATCAAAGCAGCGCTAGAGGCAGCAGGAGGGACTGTTGTTCTGGAGTAGTCTCGCCATGGAGAGACTGGTGCTACAGCTGCTGCCCAGGCCGGGCTCCGGACCTTTCCGAGTGCATGTGGCACAGTGGGAGCAGTCTCCCAAAGAATGCTGTATGCTTTGGCAGAGCTGTTAATTCTTGCGATCACCATGAACTCTACCTTATAAATACCCAAAAAAAACTGTAAAATGATTCATCTTTCTCAAGTGCTGATTATCCCCATGCTTCCCATGTCATGGAACCAGAATGGTTTAGGGCAGAAGTGACCTTGAAAGATCTTCTCATTCCAGCCCCTTACGATGGGCAGGAACACCTTCCGCTAGGCGAGGTTGCTCCGAGCCCTGTGCAGCCTGGCCTTGAACACTTCCAGGGATGGGGCAGTCACAGCTTCTCTTCACAGCAGCATGTGTCAGAGCCTCACCACCCTTCACAGACAAAAATTTATTCCTAATATCTAATCTAAACCTACTCTTAGTTTGAAGCCGTTCCCCCTTGTCCTGTCACTACACACTCTTGTAAAAATTGCTCTCTCCATCTTTCTTGTAGGCTCCCTTCAGGTACTGGAAGTTTGTACCAGCGCATCATGCACCTCTTTACACTGCCTTTTGCTGATGGTCTCACCTCTCTCTTCATTATTAACGAGAAGAACACACTTCCACAGGTTGTGGAGATGCGTGGGGGGTGGGAAAGTGTATTCTGGAGCTGCTGATTATTCCTGCGCTCAGTGTGTGCACGCTGGTAACGCTGCCGTTTGTACCTGTGCCTCCCCCACCTCTTCACTCTGCTGATGGTTTCACCGCCCCATTAATTAATCCCTTAATTATTAACGGGAAGAGCTTTCCCCGGGCTGGAAACGGGGATGTGTGTGGGGTGGGAACGAGGATTCCGGAGCCTATGGTTGCCGCGTTCGCCGCAGGCTCGGAGATGCGAGCCCCGCACCGGACCGGACCGGACCCGCCCCGCCCCGCCCCTTTCCGGTACCGGGAGGGGCGTGGCTTACCGGAGGCGTGGTGTTATCCCGGTGGGGGCGCGGCTTCTGGCAGAAGCGGTGCCCATGGCGGAGCAGCGCGTTTCGCGTTGGTACTTCGGCGGCCTCGCGTCGTCCGGGGCCGCCTGCTGCACCCACCCCCTGGATCTGCTGAAGGTGAAGGGGGCACAGGCCGAGGAGCGCCTCTGGCGGCGTGGGAAGGCCGGCTGGGGGGATGGAGGGCGAGTGCGAGGAGCTGAGAACGATGGCGGTGGTTTGGGGGGGCCGCTGTGGGGGACAGGTAATGGTGAGGGGCTGAGGGGACGGTTATGGGGGACAGGTAATGGTGAGGGGCTGAGGGGACGGTTATGGGGGACTGGTTGTGGTGAGGGGCTGAGGGGACGGTTATGGGGGACAGGTAATGGGGAGGGGCTGAGGGGACGGTTATGGGGGACTGGTTGTGGTGAGGGGCTGAGGGGACGGTTATGGGGGACAGGTAAAGGTGAGGGGCTGAGGGGACGGTTATGGGGGACAGGTAATGGTGAGGGGCTGAGGGGACGGTTAGGGGGGACAGGTAATGGTGAGGGGCTGAGGGGACGGTTATGGGGGACAGGTAATGGTGAGGGGCTGAGGGGACGGTTAGGGAGGCAGGTGTTGGTTGTGAGGGTCCGGAGAGGGTGTGAGAGGATGGGGAGGAGGTTATGGGGAGTTGGGACTGGCTGTAGGGGCTCTGGAGAGTCTGCGATGGAGCGAGGAGTAGGTCTGAGGGTTCTGGGGCGGCTCTGGGGGACTGCAAAGGGATGGGGAGGCGCTCCGAGGATCCCGGGAGCGGCTGCGGCACCGGCCGTAGGGGACTGGGCTGCACCGCGGGGAGCGACTCTGAGGGTCCCGGAGCGGCTGCGGGACCTGTTCTGAGGTACCTCGCTGTGTGGGGTGCGGCTGTGAGGGTCCCAGTGCAGCTTTGACGGGATGGGGAATGGCTTGGGGGCGACTCGGAGTGACTGTGAGAGTCCCGGCGTGGCTGCGAGGGGATGAGGAGCTGCTCTGAGGACTGGCTCTGAGGTACTGGGGAACGGCTGCCAGAGGAGGGGAGAGGGTCCTGAAACAGCTTTGAGGGATGGGGAGCTGCTCTGGGCTTCTGGGAAGCAGGTCTGAGGGTTCTGGAAGGGTTGTGAAGGGATAAGGAATGGCTGTGAGGGTCCCAGAGCAACTGAGGGAGCTGGAGAACAGCTGTAGAGGTCTGAGGAAACAGCTGCTGGGGGTCAGTTCTAGGGAGCTGATTCGTAACTGTGCGGGGACATGGCTGAGAGGTCACAAAGAACCAGCACAGGGGCATGGGTAGATGTGTAGCTGAGGGGTCCGGGGAGCTCGGGGTGCCAGCTCTAGGAGCTGTGGGGGTGCCTTGGCCAGCCCTGCCTGGATATGGCAGTGACTCTGGGGCCGGCAGTGTTGGACACTGGCCCACTGGGCTCTGAGCCCTCCGGCCAAGATGTCACCTAGGCGCCTCAGATGACCTGGCATGCCTGCTCCTGCACAAAGGGCGCCGCGTGCAGCCCTGCGCTGCCAGCACCCACGGATGGGGCAAATGCCAGCGCTGCCCAGAGCCTTGTGCGCCAGCCAAGTGGCGACAAGCCTGGCAGCGGAACCGGCTGCGGAGGGGGAGGGACGAGGCAATCCAGGACAGGGCTTGGCCTTCCCGGGGCCATGCCTCTGGGTGAGGCTGGGACAGACAGCCCCTTCCCACCCCATGGAGAGAGAGGAAGATGTTCCAGGCTCAGACCCAGGAGAGGAGCCAGCCCTGGCAGGGCACCCTCCCCAGTGCTGGGCCTGTTGCCTTGTCCAGCTGGCCCTGTCTGCCCAATGGAGGTGGCTGCCAGCCCGTGGGAGTTTGTGTGGGGTGCCTGGCAAGGCGCTAAGAAAGGGAATTAGTCTGGCACCTGCCTCTAGGTCTGTCTCTGAGCCAGTGTGATGGCTGTGATGTTTGGGCTGCATCTTCATGCTATCCTGTGGATGAGTTGCGAGCAGCACAGCCTAGCCAACTCTTTTTGCCAGATCAATAATCACACTGATTGTTGAATACACACCTGCCTTTGGCCATGCGTTCCTCCACAGCAGAGGCTGGTGCCAGGCCTGGGGAGGCACGTGGGGCCTCAGGCTCAGGCAGGACAGGGGACGAAGGGCACTTCATTGCACCGCTGGACTTCAGCCCCAGTGAGAGGCCCTGGCCAGCCCACCTGCAGAGTGCTTGTGCCCTTAGGCCAACTCTGCTGCCACTGGCTGCCCACGGGCTGCTGGCCCTGCAGCGACCAGCAGTGACCTGGCCTGGCCAGCCCATCCCATCCCATGCCTGCCTGCCCTTCCTGCAGACCTGGGACTGCAGGCAGTAGACCATGTCCCTTCATGGCTCTGCCTGCCCTGCCCACTTCAGCGGTCCCAGACTGTGAACAGCCACATGCTCTCGTCCCTGATGTCCAAAATCCACCTGTGGGGATTGCAAGCAGGCCCCTGCACCCCTGCTGCTGCCCCATATGGGAGACAGTGGCTGTTCCCAACATCCTGCAGTGTGTCCCACGACCCATCTGTGCCACAGCTTCCGTAGTGGCCTGATCTCCTGACAGCAGCCCTTTGCTCTCCTTATCTCCTGGGGCCTTTGTCCCACATGTGGTCTCTGCAGCGCTCAGAGCTTGCTCCAGCATCAGCCCACATGGCTCCCCTGTCCCAGCCAGCTTTTGTGCTTGTTGCTGTTGCTCCTGGTGATGGTGGGAAGCATTGGGCTGCTACAGGCAGGAAGGGGAGCGCCTGGCCAGCTGTGGGGTTCTCTTCCTGCCTATGTGAATCCTGCACTGAGGAGAAGGGGAAGTGGCTCTGGAGGCCTGCTGCACTGCATGACTGGGATTTCACCAGCCCAGCTGCATCCCTTTGAGCAAACAGGGCACTAGCCCACTCACATATTTCTGGATGCACACACAGAACCCCTCCAGCCCAAGGTGGCCCGGAAGAGCAGGCAGCACCCTTCACCTTGGGGCCGGCTGTTGAGGGCAGGGCCTGGGAGGTGCTGCAGGCAGGCACCTGGGCACTCCTCTCTCCTTCCCTGCCTCCACCCCTCTGGTGCCAGCCTGGGCCAGTCGGGTGTGGGGTGTCCGTAGCTATTGCTGTTGGCTCCTGTGCGAGTGCTGCTAACCTGACACAAGCACCAATCCACGCCTGTTCAGTGCCCTTCTATCGCTGCCCAGCCCAGCGCTGGGCTGACGTGCTGCACTCTGCCCCAGGTCCACCTGCAGACGCAGCAGGAGGTGAAGATGCGGATGATGGGGATGGCAATGCACGTGATCCGCACCGACGGCTTCCTGGCTCTCTACAATGGGCTCAGCGCCTCGCTGTGCCGGCAGGTGAGTGCGTGGAGCTCCTGCAGCACGTGCTGCTGCTGCTGCTGAGCTGCCCTGGGCCAGGACACAGTCGCTCATTTCCCCCTCATCCAGATGACATATTCCTTGACTCGCTTTGGCATCTATGAGACTGCGAAGAACTACCTGGGCAACCAGGGGCCTCCCCCATTCTACCAGAAAGTGCTCTTGGCTGCAACAGGAGGTGAGCCAGGCAGTGGGGCCCTTGGCCCTGGCTCCCTCAGGATGGATAAGCCCCTGACCCAACTCTTCTTTGGCCGCAGGTTTCACTGGTGGGTTTGTGGGAACTCCAGCGGACATGGTGAACGTCAGGTCGGTTCTGTCTGCACGACCAGGGCTTTTGGCCCATGCATGACAGCATTTGGGGTGGTGGCTAGTGCTGGGGTTCTCCTGACATCTCTCCTGGCCAGCCTGCCCAGTGGGCCAAGAGCTCTGTGCCCAGAGCTCTGTGCTCTGGCCAGAGTTGTTCTGCCTTTTGGTGACAGCGCCCAGCTGTGTGTGACCTTCAGGGGGAGTGGGACTGAAGGCAACTTTCTTGGCCCTTTGAAAATGGGCAACACGATTCCACTGCCCTGTGCTGGGGTCCCCAGTGCTGCAGGGGACAGTGGGGTACCGGCTGCCCCCTCATGTGCAGTGCTCTGCCTTCCAGGATGCAGAACGACATGAAGCAGCCGCCGGCACAGCGGCGCAAGTGAGTGAGGGGCCAGGGCGAGGGGCTCTGGGGCAGAGGGGCGGGAGGCCTTGAGGGGCCGGTGGGATCGGCGCTCCCGGGGTCGGGGTCCACGTGGCCGTGCGGGGGCAGCACCGCACCGGCGGCGCGGCCCGAGCACCGCACCGGGGGCGGTGGGGTCTGCGCCGGGGCCCCCGCCCCGAGAGCCGCCGGTGCCCGGCGGAGCGGCGGGGCTGCCGCCGTGCTGGGGAGCCTCAGGCCCTGACCCCTTCCCGTCTCGCTCCTTCCAGTTATTCCCATGCCCTGGATGGCATGTACCGTGTCCTCCGGGAAGGTGAGGCTGTGCCAGCCGTGTGGGTGAGCCTGCTCCGGTGTCCTAGCAGGTGCCGGGTCAGGGCACCCTGGAAGTTCGCTCAGCCGGGGCAGGGAGAGGGGCTGGGGGATGCCCTTGGGGCTGGGGGTGTCCAGGGGAGCGCAGGGTCTGGCTCTCCTCATTGTCTGGCTGGGGCAGGGGCTGGGCAAGGTCTGGCAGGGCATGGCAGCCTTCACATACTTGGTGGGAAAGGGTGACTGCTGGGAGCTGCAATAGAAAAGTGCAGGAGGGTGGAGCAGGTGGAACAGAGGATGAGCAGAGGCAGGGAGGAGGTCATGCTCTTTTGAAGGACTCCCTACTCCTTCAGCCTGTTTGCTATGGTGTGCTTCAAGCAGGGCTGTGTGAGGAGTTGTGGACACAGATTGGGCATGGAAGGAGACACCCGGGATAATGGAGTCTGAGTGATGGCAGAGAACTGTGCTGATCCAAATCTGTCTGTCCACAGAGGGCCTGAAGAAACTCTTCTCAGGAGCATCAGTGGCATCGGCCCGTGGTGCCCTTGTTACAGTTGGACAGGTAGGACAGCTCTGCTGGGCAGTATGTGACTGGGGTGGGGACTAGGAAGGGGGAGCATGTCACTGATCCACCATGTCTCTGCAGCTTTCCTGTTATGACCAGACCAAGCAGCTGGTTCTTGCAACTGGATTGCTGTCAGACAATGTCTTCACTCACTTCCTGTCCAGCTTCATCGCTGTAAGTAGGGCCGGGGTCCGGGGGCAGCGCTGGGGCTGGGTTTGCCTGCAGCCAGGGTGAGAGCATCAGGCTGGGGCTGCCAGAGCTGCTGCTCTGGGCTCGGCTCAGCACAGCGGCTCCAGGAGGCTCCTGGCCTGAGGTCGGTCCCAGTGGCTCTGAGTCTCTCCAGTGACCACAGCAGCTGCTGGCACGGAGGTCTCCTGACTTGGCTGACTCTCTGCAGGGCCTGTGTGCCACATTCCTGTGCCAGCCCCTGGATGTGCTCAAGACCCGCCTCATGAACTCCCACGGGGAGTACCAGGTGAGTCTCACACCTTGCCACCTTGCTGCTGCCCATGCTCCCATCTCTATGTGCCAGCTTCTGCCTCCCAGCCCCTCTCACCTCATCTCTCACCCTTCCACTCCAGGGTGTCACCCACTGTGCCATGGAAACTGCCAAGCTCGGACCACTTGCCTTCTACAAGGTACCTGGCTGGGGGCACATGGGGTGGAGCAGGCTGGGCCCAGCTGGGAGCAGAGGTTGTGGTCCAGAACAGTCCTGGGGCAGGAGCCTTCCACGTTCTGCTGTGGCAGCCCAGCTGCTTCCTGCATCAGGCCTTTGTCTGCCCAGCCCAGGCTTGGCCCCAAGATATTGCAAGCCCTGGCCTCAATGGGACACAGCCTGGGCCCAGGCACCACAGCTGTGCCTCTGTTGCACCCATTGAGCTCCCAAACAGCAGTGCAGGTACCAGAGGGGTTAGCACATGGTGCTGAGCCCTGTGTGCGCCGTGGTGGCCATGGTGTGGCAGCACCTGCTCCACATCCCAGCCAGTGCTGACCCACGCCTGCCCACTTGTGCTGCTGCCAGGTTTGGGCTGCTGGGACAATCAGTGACAGGCACACACTGACTCTTCCCCTTCTTGCTGTCCCCTTCCAGGGCTTCGTTCCTGCTGCTGTCCGGCTCGTTCCTCAGACCGTTCTCACCTTTGTCTTCCTGGAGCAGCTGCGCAAATATTTTGGGATCAAAGTGACCACCTGAATCTGGGGGACCAGACCCTGCCTTACCCCAGGGGGAGTGAGCGTGTGGGTCACCCCCAAGATCCCAGAACCCCTCTCTGCTCTCTGAGGCCAGTGCCATTCCCTCTCTTCTCAACTCTACTCCTGTGCCTTGCCAGCACCTGTCGCCAACCCCCTACTTGCAAACTCACCCTTCCTCTCATCTCCATTCGCAGCATTTCCACCTCTGCATTGCTACTTCTGGGTTTTGGGTTTTTTTGGGGGGGGGGGTGTTCTGTCTTCGCACTTCTCTACTGGCTCTGAGTTGTGTCCTTGCCCCCCCCCAGCCTTGTCCCTGATGTGCCCCAGAATCAGGACTGTGCTGTCTCAGGGAGTAGGGAGATGAGATGCCTGGCTCTGTACCTTGTCACTCAGCCCATGGGGCTGGAGAGACTGCTCACCCTACAGCTGTGGGGCTGGGGCTTGGGGCAGTGTGTGTGAGGCCCTGTCCTCCCTCTGCCTTTAGCCCCCGTGCTCCTCCCTAACCCCAGCGCAGCTTGGACCTCCTGCCCTGCTCCTGGCCTCCCACCCTCTGATTCTGCTTGGCCAAAACTCCTCAGCACTGCTGGCTGCTGGGCTCTTCAGGGATTGTGCCTCATACCAATGACGGTGGGGAACATGGCCTTGCTCTGGCAGGGCCTGCTACTGCCTGCTTGGGGACCCAGTGCTCTCTTACCACAGTGCGCGTACCCCACACTGGATCTGGTCTCTGTGGGTGCATCCCCCACCACCACTCTGCAACTTGTTTCACCTTGGGGCTGGGCAGACTCCTACTCCTCACAGCCCCTCACCCCACACTGCCCAGTGTGTGGGGGCTGTGAGCACCAGCCCCTCTGCTATGTACACCCCTGTGTGTACTGGCCCCAAGGAATCGAAGAACTGGAATATCTGAGACCTTGATGTATAATAAAGAGTGAAGGTGGCACAGGGCCTGCTGTCCTGTTGGGAGGGGAGAGATGGTGCACCCCCTTTTCATGGCTGAGGGTATGGGCTGGGAGCTGAGCCCCACAGAGCTGAGAGAGGGTAGCAAGGCTTGGCTCCTGGCACTATGCCAAGGGGGTCTTCACCCAGCTCTGTGCCCAGCACCCCTGGTCCTGTGTGCAGAGGGAGCTGTGGGCAGGCTCCACAGCCAGGCTGTGCCAAGCTGTGCCTGGTCTCAGCTGGACAGCAGCTCCGGGGTAGGGCTGTGCCAAGGCCGTCCGTCACCCCTGTGGGAGCTGCCTTCTGGATGTGACACTAATTGGGCTCCGGCAGACTGAACAGAGGCAGACTGGTACAGCAGAGCAGTGAAAGCTCGTCACCTTAACAAGGCCTAATGATGCTAACTGGCATCACCACTCTGGGCTTATACCCAGCCACAGCAGAGGCCATGGCCAGGTGAACGCTCAGGGAGCCGGGCCCTCTCCTCACAAGTAGCCGGGGGCTGCCAGGCTGTGCTTCCTCATCCCCCACATCCTGCAGTGCTGCTCCTGGGGGTGATGGGTGCTGCTGTGTGTCATGCAAAGGGCCAGCATGGAGCAGGAAAGCGCTGGAGCCCCATGGCCCCCCAGCAGCACGGAGCCCTGCTCAGCCCCATGACAGCCAACGGCAGGGACATTCCAGCTGGGCTGCGGTCCCATCAGCTGCGCCAGCCCTGCGCTCCTGTGTGCACATACCCTCTCACCACATCCATTTTGGCAACTGAAGTGCAGCAGTCACAGTGGCAGGCAAGACAGCATGTGCCAGACGCAGCCACGAGCACAGCTCCCACAGCTGCAGTGCGAGGGCACTACTTATCTCTTGAGCATCAGAGAACATGGGGCTGGCAGCAGCCTGTGGCTCTGTGTGCGCTGCCTGCCCCCCGCTCCCACCCTGCCCTCTACCAGGGCCTCCGCAGCTGCCCGCAGGCACTCCCCGGGGGCACGTTCTGCCCCCACCGGGTAGGGCTGCCCGTCCTCCCCCTGAGCTCCCCTCCTGGCCTGGAAGGGGGCCGGGGCCATCTCCAGGGAGGCGGCTGTGGCTCCAATCCTCGTGGCAATGGCAAGACACCACAGGCCCGGCGTGTGCCTGCGCTCCTCCGCCCACGGCCACGGTGACCTGCAGCCTGCGGCGGGCGCGTAGAGCGGGAGCCCGAGGGAGGCAGCTCTGGGGGATCCGGGGCTGGGCTGGGTGCGCTACCGGGCTACGTGCTGGCGGTACCCGTGCTGCCACGGCCCAAGGTAAATGTTCGTGCCGGGACAGGGCACCCCCCAGGCCGGGGACTCCCTCTGCAGCCCCAGCCCGCCGGTCCCGGTGCGTCGCTGTTTCTGGCCTGTGTTTATTACCTGCAGCGGGACAGCGGCGGCAAGCGCTGACCCGTCACCGCCGGCGGCGGCCAGAGCGCGGGTGTTGAGGCGGCGCGGCCGAGATCCGCCCGGTCCCTGAGGTCCGAGCAGCTCGGGGCACGGCAGGAGCGGGAAACTGACCCCCGGGGCTGGCGCGGTCTAGCTGCCCCCGCCGCTCCGCCTGTCCCCGTCGCCGAGCCGAGCCGGTGCCCGGGAGTGGGGCAGGGCAGAAACAAGCGGCGGCGCTCCCGCAGCTCCCGGGAGCGACCGCCGGTGATGCGCGGGGCAGCGCCAAGCACTCGGGCGGGGCTGGGGCACCGGGCTGTGCCCCCCTCGTGCCGGCGGGAGGAGCGGGGCGACGGGACGCGGCTCCGTGCCCGCGGTCCCTCCCCCCAAGCCGGTCCCTCCCCCTGAGTCGCCACAGCCGCTGCCGTCGCGGCTCCGCTGAAGTTTTCGCCGAGCGCGCCGGACCCGGTCCCCGCCGGTCCCGAGATGCGTTCAGGAGCCGCCGCGAGCCCAGCCCCGACAGGTACGGGGAAGGGAGGGAAGAGGGCAGGGAGCGTCCATAGCCGCTGTCTCGGAGCTCGGGATGTCGCATGTCCCGTCGCGGGGATGTGGATTCGAGTGACGACTGCGCAACCCCGGGGCCACGAATTGAGCCCCGGCCCCCAGAGCAGCAGCTCCCAGAGCCGCCCCGATGCTGGGCGCCGGCCCCGGGGAAAATGAGCCCCTGGGTGTTCTGGGCCTGGGGTTCCCGCAGGGCTGTGCCCGCTTCCCGTCCGCCCGCTGCCGTTGGCACCCCTGGGCAGGGGCGGCTGCTGTCAGACTAACAGCACCCCTGGGCTCTGCCTCGGCTGCGGTGAGCCCCCGGCCAGCGATTCCAGCTGAACTCCGTCGCTCTGGGACTAATTCCCGGAGCAGCCCCTAGTCGGGGTGGGACGCGCGTGGTCTCCATGCTGTGGTCACAGCAGTGCCCATAGGTCTCCTGCCGAGGGGCCGGAGCAGGGGACACTTTGCCAGTTCCCAGCTCTCCCCAAGCTCTCCGGGTATTACGGGGGCCTGGTGCGAGTGCCCTTTGTGACTCTGTCCCGAGCTCTGCTGTGTCAACACGGTGTTGGTAAATGGCTTTGTTTAACCAGGACATGTCGGGTATGTGACCTTGCCGTCCTCCTGGGTGCAAGCGCATCTCCAAAGCTGCTGCAGGTCCCCTCTGCTCGGCACTGCATTTCCCTCGGGGTGGTGAGGGAAGCAGGGACCGCGGGGGTCAGCCTGCTCCCCTCGCACAGAATGGCCTGAGGACGGAGCATCAGCTCTGCTGAGCCCTTGCCGTGCATCCCACGGCTCAGCACCCTGTCCCACGCAGTGCCTGCCGCGGGTGTACCAAATTCAGTGATTTTGTCTGTGCATCAGCAGGAAAATGTAGGGCTTGCAGGACCCCTTGTCAGTGTGCTAGTGCTGCTCCAGCTTCCAGCTCCTGTGGCTTCCCACCAATCCTGCTCCTTTATGCACACTGGTGTTTTGTGTTTTTTTTTTTTTTGGTTTTTTTTTTTTTTAATGTTCTGTTGCCTAGAGAGGGGAAAAGAGAAAAGGCTGAACAGAGAATAGGCAAAATGTGGATCAAAAATAGTTAATGAAAAAATGTGACCACAAACCCTGATCAGCAGCACAGGGCTAAAACCAGCCACTGAACACAGCATCTCCATGCACCTCGCTGTGCCGGGCAAGGACAGGGGCAGGGGAAACCGGACATGGGGGAGATGGGATGACTGCTCAGCTCCATCCGCCTGTGCTCCACCACTGCATCCTGCTTTGTCCTGCATGCCCATGTCCTTGTTTATCTACCCCAGCACTGGGGTCAAGTGCAAGTGCCTGTGGTGCCAGTGGGCATGTGTGGCACCCGCAGCCCCCCCTGCCTTGCTGGAGCTGCTGCCTGGCTGTACCCGGGGCTGCAGATCTGCTGGTTGGGTAGGCGGATGTGAAGCTCCCAGTGCAGGAGAGTGTGCGTACTAGCCTGTCTGCACTGACCTTTTCCTAGGCTCTTCTGAGCCCTGTGCCTCCCCTGTGACATGCTAACCACATGTCACACCATGCCTCTTTGTGCCTTCCTTCTGTGTTTCACAGGTTTTCATGCAACGTGATGAGCAAAACCACCCTTTTCCTTGAGCCAGGGATGAGGTGCTGTGTGGCTCAACATCCCCATGCCAGAGCCAGCTGGGCAGCAAGGCAATTTGGCTGCTGCCAGGCTGTATCATGGTCCCTCTTTGGTATAGGGCAGTTGTGCAGGTGCCCCCTGGTCATGCCTTGTGGTGACCGGGCAGTAGTGGAGGTGACAAAAACACTGTCAGGGCTGGTTTGGCTTTTCTTGGTCCAAGGTGACACAGAATCCGACATCACCAGTGCCTGGTGACATTGGCTCTCTCCATGTGCTACTGCTCAGGACTTCCACAATCATGTAGCTCTGTGCAAACAAGTCACAGCCTTGCAGCACAAGGACTGTTCCGGGCTGCTCAGCTGCTCCTTTGCTGCCAAAGTTCCTCGTACTTAGTTCTCAAGGAAAGAATGGAGAAGGGGAGTAGAAAACATCCCCAAGCTTCCGGCACGGACACAGGGCAGGGACAGTGCAGGACAGACCTCCTGGGCCTCCCTGCCGTGGCCATCTCCCCTAGTCTTGCCCCGCCTGCCGTGGTCCTGGGTGGAAAGTGGAGCAGCATCTGCAGGGCCAGGCTGGCACTGGCATTGCATCAGCTCTGGCCCAGCACTGTCCCCTCCCCTGCCAAGTGCCAAAGCCCCTGCCGTGCTGGCATGTAGCTCCAAGCTCCAAGCCAAGCCAGCCGTGGAAAGCGCCGCATTAGCGCACGGGGGGCTAATCCCTGTGTCCAGAGGCCGCACAGCCCCCACAGCTGCCTCCAAGCCAACGGGGCTGTGCTGGGTGCGGGGCTGTGCTCACAGGAGGCCAAGCCCCCACCCCACCAGGGAGGCAAGAGTCCTGTGGGACCAGGCTCTGGGGGCTGCACCAGCCTCACTGCACTTGTGCAGGGCTGTGGCTGTGCACATCCATCAGTGGGGAGCAAACTCCAACACCCAAATCCCAAATCCCAAAATCCCAAGCCTTTTCCCATCCATGCCCTCTGTCTTGGTGCAATGCCGTGGCAGCAGTGAACCCAGGTCCTCAATTTGCCCTGCACCCTGCCCGGGCTAGCCCCTGCCTCCTGACCACCCTGGGGCCAGTGGTAGCTGCCATGAGCTGCAGGTCATCTGGGGGCCACAGGGTCACCAGTCAAGGGGAACGGGGGTCCTTGCTTTGCCCCTGTGGCTGCAGGGGTTGCCACTGCTGGCTTGGGAAAGGCAAATGCAGATGCTGGCAACAGCCACACTCTGAGGGCAGATGATGGTGCCTGTGTCTGACCACTTTGGCCTCCAGCACTGGGGCTACCAGCAGTGGTGTTGCATGTAGCCATCCCAGTGTTGTCTCCTTGTTCCTGCTCCCCTGGCACAAGGTCTCTTCCTCACAGCTATGGCTCCAAGTGGAGTCATACTGGGTGTTTTCAGCCTGGGCTCAATGAAGGTCAGCAGCCACAGAACCGTGACACAGGAACATACCCCGCTGTCCAACACCAGTGTG